TGAAAGTTCATTTATATATATTATGTATTGTAGTTTCATAAATTAAGCCTGATTTCATTGGGGTGTGGCCTATTTTTCACTGCCTTCATTGCTTCAGAAACTGCAACCCCACTACCATCCTGAGATTCATGTAAAGTATGAAAGAAAATATCAAGAGAAAACTACTTTTTCTTTGGAGCTTTTTCAGATGAGGAAACCGGAACACAAGAAATCCGAAAAATGAAGATATAGATAAGAAAAATGGAGAGGGGGCATAAAACATTATCATCACCATGCAGCAATAAATGAATCAAAAGAAAAGAAATTAGGAGCCATTCTAAGAACGAAGTGGAAAGGCAAAAGCCTTTAAGAGGGCAGTTTTTAGCCTCTAGTTATTTTTCTTTATTCCTTGTTTCCCTGGGTCTTTTTACCTAATAGAAAATCCGTAAAGCTAGAGAAATCTGTGTAACAAATGTTAAATTCTACTGAGAGAAATTTAATATTAATACCTTTTTTTAGAAATAATGAGTGCCTAGTGGATCTCTTGTACATGGTTCTCCCCCTGCCATATTCAGTAATACAGAATGCAGTAATTATCTCCTTCAGATTACTAATCTCAAATGCAGCCATTTAGAAATTACCACTGAAGCAAGAAAATTCATAATGCAATAACACCATATATGCACTATGTACTTCTATAATGGCTATAGACAGAGCAAACACAAGGACACAATTGCCTCAGATTACAAATCTAGGTTAGTTATTTAGAAGTCCCATTATACTCAGCAGGGTAGCTACTATGTAATCATTCTTATGATCCCACAGTGAAGTTTGTTGTCCACAGATCTCTTTGAATTTTCAGTATTTTCTTTTGTTTTTACAACACCATATGCTATTTTATGATACCTTAATCTCTTGCATTTAATTTTGTTTTATAAATAATAGGAATTAAGTAGGTGGCCAAATTGTGCATGACATGGAACTAGAGGTCTCTAACCTAGATAGCTTCAAGATATTTGTGGACTGGTAACAATTGGGACTGATGGTTATATACTAAGTGCTTTGGCATATAAAAACAAACTCAGAAAAGACAACAAAAATAGTTATTTTCTTTTTTAAAACTGCTTTTAAAAATATCTGGTCATTTTCTAAATTTCTCAAATTTCAATTCAGTTTTGTTGGATATAATGCATGTATACATTTATTCCAGCAATTAATCTTTTTTATAAAGTCCATAAGCATTTTTGATTCTAGTCCTGCAAGATGTCTTATAAGAATGATTAATCAATGACTTCCATTATTTTTAATATTCTTGTTACATAATGTGTAAAAATCATCCTTGCTGGGTTAAACACTATCTCAATTAAGATGAGCTAAAATAGTAATACTGAAATAAAATAATTAGATTTTTATTTTTAAAAAATCTACAGCTGAAATGCTTGGTTCTCTAATGTTGACTTTGAAGTTTAACAGCTTAAAGAAATTAGTTCAATTTTAGAAAAATATTCTGAATATATGCTACATCCCTGGAACAGCTACTTTTTGCATATTCCACATTTTGAATAACATCAACAAAGCTCTTTGCAGTATCAGAACTTTACTTTTCACTCTAGAAAATGGAAACAAAATCCAACCAAAATTGAAATATTTCCCCAAGCATAATTTTAATTAAATTTTGATAAACTGCTTTAAAATATTTTTACCATTCCCATTTATAAATTATACTGTAGGTAATAAAATTGCCATGTTATAAAGTTAGTTTTATATTTCTGATCGTAAGATTAATATAAGATGAATTCAGTATTTTTAATGCTGCCTTTCCCAATTTTATATAGGCCGCTACAAATATTGGATTGTTATTCCCTTCATCCACATCCAGCTTCGGGCTTTTCACTGATAGATTGCTGAGTTAATGTCCTGCATCATTCATTGAATATTATTTTGGTGCAAAATATTATGTTGAAATAATGCATTTTAAGTTATTTATTATATTACAATTTAGAATTCTGAAAATCACCAATGAGATTTTAAAAGACACATGCTCTAAAAGCAACATTTCCCTTTTCAGTTTTTGATTTATTTTGGTCTACTTTTTAAAATTCTGACTCACTTAAAGCCTTGCAGTGTTTTGTGACTAGAAATCAATCCAAGAGTACCTGCAACCAAATTTAGTGTTGCAGAAACTATAGCATCACAAATCCTATTTAAACTGTCCTCATCCGAATTTATTATTGAATTTTGAGTATCAATTAGTTACTGTCATTACTAAACCAGAACTGAAACATTAGCAATTCTCTACTTCCCTTTTAAATGTACATATTTTGCATAAATTTACACACTTCCTTTCTCTTCCATTCCTTTCCCTTCTGATCTTTCATTCTTTTTCCTTTTCCTTTTTTTTTCTTTTTTGCATTTCCTCCTTTTCCTTTTATACCTTAGAAACAAATATGTAATTTGATATCATGGTTATATAAATGCTATCTGACAAAGAGCAAATTAAATACAATTAAACTTGGAATTAGCTCATAATTCTTTTTTGTGTTGTATCAGAACATCGGAATAAGACAATGTGTAGCAAATAATTTGATGCAGTTTTACGTGCAAACATAAAAAACTGTTTTTCCTCTTTCTGAAACCAGTGTTTATGAATTCATGCAGTAACATAGAAAAGGGATTAAAATCTGTTCAAACTGTAATGCCATCCAGATGTTGGATTTATATCAGGGCAATATATATACCAAGTATGCAAAGCAGTCTAATCCAGCAACCTTCCAGGATACCTACAGGTAATTCACATCTGTTATTTATGCTTCAACTGAAGCACTCAATTAGAATGTTTCTTATTTTTGTGTTCAGAAAGTACTAACACATGCCATAAAGTAATAAAATTGGTAATGAAATATACTTGCAATGTAACACAAATGAAATATCTGTCCAGATTTGCCATTGGACAAGAGTTATATAATATTATATCACATTTAACACTAAAATCTATATTCACCTATACCCTATGTTTAAGAATATATGGATGGGAGTTTTCTACACAGGGTGACCCTGTTAAAATTGCTGCAAGTGGTTAAAAAAACCTATACAGAATCTGAGTTAGAAACAACCCAGAGGCAAAACTAGTATTTGATTGGATTTTTAAAACCCACAATGTATGAAACAGTCAACATAAGCAAGGAGAAAACGCAATCCCTTTTTTAGAATTTTTTTGAAAAATATTTCAAAGTACACTGAGATGATGCTAATAATTATTCTAATAGTGACCTATCAATGACAAACTTAGAATAAAAAATAAGTCCTGTATGCAATGCAATATATTTCCTTCTTGAGTTCTGCAAACATCTATACCATTTTTATTTCTTGAGAACCTATCAAAAGAAAGATGAAATGAAATTCCAGTCTATCTAGCTCCTCAAAGATAAATTTGAAATATATATTTTAAATTTGAAATATTTATTTTAAAAACAGATTGATCATTAAAAGCAAATAGCCCCCCTCCTTAATTATCCTTATTTTCTATGTTTTTAGACCAAAATGCGATTTTCCCTGTGTGGCCCAGCTACCTTTGACACTTACATAAAAGTAAAAAGAAGGCAAGTTGGACATAAAACCCATTTATTCTGAATCTAAAGTTCATCAGCATTTTGGTTACATTGACACATAGAAGGTGAATTTTAACTCAACCTGAGGTTTCTTCTTTTTTATTATTTGAAATCAGTATTGTATACAGTATTGGATTAAGACTACTCAAAAGTCTTTGGAAGTTAATTGGGGAAACTTCAACGAAAATCAAAGAAAACGATATACAAATTATGGTATATTTATAGTTGAACCACATAATCTTTGTAACCTTTCAAAGCCTTAGGATTTCAATGTCCCTGATTCTGCCACATGAACTGGTCCTAATTTCGTCTGGTCCTAGCAAATTTGGTGTGAATCTGTTTGTATTTAATCTGGAGGGAAGATAATTTGTTGGAACACTCAGAGAGATGCCAAATCACAGCATATATAAGCATAAGTAAATTAATCCATCAAATAAATATCAGGAAAGCAGCAAAAGAAGCCCAGTGATGCAAAGAAATGATATTATATTTTACAGTATGTTGGCTTGAGATAGTGACAACCTTCTGAAATAGATTCAGATAATGTAAGAAATATCAGTCGCTGCTTTTCCAACTCAAGCTGTATTGTCTTCCACGGTGCCAACAAATGCTTCAATTAAATCAGCTGGATAACACAAACACCATCAGTTCACTGGTTAGTTTCACTGCAAGCCTCAGAGTATATATGTGCTTGCTTTATCATATGGGTCAAATCGCCTGTCTTCTTTAGCACAAGAACAGTCAGCAAATGGAAAGAAGGAGGATGGAAAACACGAAAAACAAAAAAATAAAATAGGTTCCAATCGTGCAAAATTTGCTTCACTTCTTGACACAGTAATGTCCAAAAAATTACCCTCCCCAGAAGATACAGATTTGAAGTTTGAATAATTCTTATTTTTGTCTTGGTGCTTTCTTTGTTCTTTTTTAAGGCTATGCAAACACAAAAAGAGAAAATATATAGGAACATATCATCAGGTATCGGGGTCTTCTGGCTTTGGAATAAGTCCATTACAAACACTTCTGTGGTTCCAATTAATGCATCCCTTCAAGACAAGAAGAGGAAGAAAGGGGGGAAAGGAAATGAAATCCCAACAATAAAATCCAAAATTGACTTTACAATCACAGGTACAAACTGCTCAGGTTGGTAACTTCTTTTTTCTCTCTTAAGGATGATTGGTCATCTAAAACTAATAGATCTGCAGATTTCTGAAGGAACTGTCAAGAGTTAACACAAATAGTGGCATCAAGAAGTTTTCTCCTTCTTCAGTGATGGCAGTCTGATTGGGTGTTTGGAATTATTGGCAGGTCTAGTCCAGTTCAAGGAGGAAGAAGAAGTTTCTTGGGAGTTGTTGGCATTTAAAGACCGAATTCCTGTTCCAGCTTGCAAGTTAGGATTCACCTTGTGTTTTTTCTTTATAATGGAAAGACTAAGAACCCTGAAAAGGTTGAATATTTCCATCCTCCCATGAGATTCCCTCTCTCCAGCTTGAGATGCACTTTGTCTTCTCTTTCCATCAGGAGCAAGACTCCATTGCTGGCTGCTTCCCTGGTAACATCTTGATCTCCAGCAAAAGCAGAAATCACGGGATAGCCATTTTGCATTAAACTGACCTGTAGTACAAAAGAAATGTGAGCTAAGTAGTCCCATGAGATTTGGAATAGAATTCTTTATTGGCCAAGTGTGATTGGACACACAAGGAATTTGTCTTGGTGTAAATACTCTCAGTATACATAAAAGAAAAGATACATTCGTTAAGAATCTATTCATATGTAAAAGTTTACAGTTATACTCCAACATATCGTACAAACATGCATTCACATAGTATATTATAACCAAAGGGAAGTCAGGCTCCTCCACATGCAGGAAACCCAAAATAATGAGTGGGTGACAAGTAGGATAAAATGCATCTCTCTCATGCAGGATGGCACTGAAAAGGCTTTAGTTCATCTACAAATTCCTTCCGAGTTCAGGCTGTCTTCTCTTCAATCAAAGGAGACTGACCAGGGATGAAAAACCATACCCTTTACTAAACCAAATAAGCCTATTTCATAACACTGCTAAACAGTAGAGTAATAAATAATGCATGGGTCCATTCCTCATTGCCTTATTTGATGAGCCTTTTGTATGATTTTGCAAAATGAAACAAGAACTCTCAGAAGGAACCCCTAATGTTGGCACATACCTGGATAGTTTGTCGGTTATATACTTTTACAACATGGAAACTGAAGCTATAGATTCCTTTTCTTGGTGCTACAAATATACTGGAAGCGAGGTCAAAATGGTTCCCAATATTAACTAATACCTGGAGGAGAAAAGAAAAGAAACCAGGTTGTTTCTTCATTAAATGGAAAGTGGGGTGGAGGAAAGACATTTTTCAGACAACCCTCCCCTGTTCTCCCAGCAGTGCAAAACCACTGGCATTTGCTGTACAATTAAAATGGACTGCAGGGGGAAGGAGCCACTTCCTAAGGTGTTGTAAAAGGATCGGTTCAGACAGCTGATTGATTTACCCAGTGGTGCACCCAAAGCTTCTTTGAGAGCATGAAAGGCATATGATGGAAGCCTATGTCTGCACAGTGAAGGAGAAAACAGATCAAATCATTGCTGAGACATACACAAAGAAGGAAAATAGTCCATTGAACAAACCACTAGATTTTTACATTTTCACAAGACAGTGCTGAAACTAATTGTGTCTCTTGGGGTTTGCAATGTTAACATTAAATGAAAGAGGCTTAGTCATGCTGTATGGGATGAAATGTGGAGAAGGGAGTTCAGATATTAAGATAAGTAGCTTTCTTAATCTGCATTCCTTATTCTATTTTTCTGCTCCCACGCCCATCCTAAAGCAAAACTTATTCAATTAAGCTTGAACAAACTCTCAACATGGACTTAGTGATAAAAGAAAATACCAATTGCCAATTACAATCATGCAAAATTATACTTGATTCCAAGTTATAAATATTTCAAAGCATCATTAGTACCACAAAACCAGAAAGAGTGAACAGCTTTATAAGGTAAGGAAGGTCTTCATCTCAATATAATGCACAGTGCAGTCTGGTTTCTTAAATCCAAAGATAATACAGATTACATAAAAAATATAAAAATGAAAGCTGCAGAAACTTGAGAATCTAATGAACTTTCCAGAACAGATGTTTAAAGTTATTCATAGAATTATTTTTTTATTATTATTTGCAGAATCAGATCTTTAATCTTCTGTGTAATCCATATTTGTACAGTACATAATTTGCTAACACTTGTTTGGGATCTTATTTTTTTGACCATTGAATAGGTAGCCTTCCAAATGGGAGGATCCTAATACAGTCACTGTTCATTGTTTGGTCTAGCTGTGATATAGAGCTTGTGAATTTCAGAGCTTATTACCACCTGTTCTAAAACAGGTTTCTTGTTACAAAAAAACAGAAATCCACACTTCCTTTTTTTTACTTCTCAGAAATCTGCAGCTCTGTGCCCTTTTAAATAGAATTAGCCCCTAAAGAATTAAGTGAAATGTGCTTCTGGCCATACATGTAAAAAAAATCTGTTAAGTGTGACTGAATATATTGAAATATACAGAAACTAGTAACTTTTACTACTGGTTTATTTATGTGTACATACAAAAGCAACAATGATGAAACTATAATTTTAATCTTTTGTTTTAAGACAATGTTTCATGAGTTGAATGTTTGAATATGACAAAATGGTAGACATAAAGTATTCCTAGAATAACTGACACATTCATTTGCCTTTGTGTGTTACAGAAAACTCAGAATAATTCTGTTAATATTAAAATTCTGCCGATTTATGTTGCCGTAATTTTTTATTTTTATCTTTTTCTATTCCAACAAAATATATTTAACATAAAATTCCTACAGGTTTGAAGAAGCTATTCTTTGGTTGAGAGGTTAGATAAAATGCAACAATAGTACACACAATGCCTATAATATTATTCTAATCTATTTAAGCAGGTAGCCTGAGGTTTATATTTGTATCCATACATTGATTTTAAAAATAGTTAATTTAAAAAATTCCAATGCATCCTTCTTTGTTTATTTCTGAAGTGGCAGGAATCCAATAGGTTCTTTAAAAAATTCCTTATTAAATTTTTCAGCTTGTCCCCTATTTGGCATTACACTCATGTTGTGCAGAATTCTACAGTCTTCCCTGTCCAATGTATAGAAGGACCTCTCAGAGTCACCAATTTGGTGAAATGAGATGTAGCTATGCCTTAAAAGGACACATGCACTATAATCAAGCTAGTTCCAATAAAATAAGAAAGGTGTCCTTGGCAGCATTTATTGGTGGACACACTAAAAAGAAATTTATAAAATCATGATTTTCATCCAAGAAGGTGAGGAGGAAAAAGTGCTGCCAAGGTGCTGGCTGTGAATTATCCAAGTGGATGTTTTTTAAGATTCCTGAAGGAAGCTTGAACTTGACAAAGAATCCTGGTGAAATAGGACACCCAAGCAGAGGACACATATGGAGGAGGAATCGATTGGAATCTGGGCAGAGAATATCAAGTAAGACCTTAGGTAGCTCATGCAGATAAAATGGGTCGCTTGAATAGAGGCAGAATGTGTTTTAGGAGATCAGAACTGGGGGAATCAATAAAGAACAGTGATCCCAGATACTAAAGAAAAGGCTTAGCAGGGAAGAGAATGGCGATGGAACTAAGGCTAAAAGACCTTACAAGGGGCCAGAAACGTGCGACCAAGTCTTCTTAACACAAGACGGAGTAGGAGCAAAGGGTTTGGTGGTTGGATGGAATGAAAGCTCCCCGTGTGAAAGGAGAGGTAAGGAGGGCAACTGGGAGGGGCTTTGACTTTGTTACTGATTCTGGGAGGGGCTTAACCAAGAGCGAGGTTGGCGGTGGAAAGGGAGGGGAGGGGGACAGAAGACTGGCGCGCCACCTGACCTGGTCGAAGTAGATGGTCATGGTGCGGTTGCTCATCTCAGACGGCTCGTGATTGGTGCTGCGCGTGGCCGAGAAAGCCACCTTGGCGCTGCCAGAGCGCACGGAGATACCCAGCGATGAAGTAATGGCGCCGTCGGCGGACGGGCTAGAGTCGCATACTACCAAACACTTGCCCTCCAGCACGATGGGCTCGGTGTCGTTCTGCGCGCCCACCGCCGGGCAACTGGTGGGCAGCAGGAAGAGCAAAAAAGCCAGCACCGCCGCCATGCAGGAGTAACTGCCAGCCGGCTCCGCCAGCGCTCCCCGCCGCCGCCGCCACCACAACCGCCGCCCGGGCATCGCAGAACCCGTCACCAACCGGGGGAGTCCAAAGGGGGCGGCGGGGCGGCAGCGAACGAGAGCTGCCTTTACTTTCCGGGCGGGCGCGTGCGTTTAAGCCGTGGCTCTGCTTGGCTTGGCCCCGCCTGCGGACCCGCACGAGCCCCCCGCACCAGCGCTCTCGCCCGCGCTTCTTCTCTCGGCCACGGACGGGGCAAATGGGAGACTTCACAGGAAGGCGGGAGGCGCGCAGCAGTCGCAGCCTGCAAGAGGGAAGAAAGCGAAAAAAGGGCGGTCAGACCTTAGCGGAGCTTGGAGCTTCGCGACTCCCCCATTTCCCCCCCCCCCTTCCGACCCTCTTACTCGCTGGCCAGAGTTTTGGAGCTTCCCCCACCCTCCCTGAGGCGCGAGGATGCAAAGCAAAGGAACGGCGTCCTTTATGAGGAAACGCTTTCCCTCAGGCACACGGGCATCCCGCTGCTGCGTTGGGTTGCTAAACCAACCGTCCACCTAGTCCAGTACCTCAGTTTCCCACAGTGGCCAGAAATAAATAAATTCTTAGATATTGGAGAGTTTCTGCATTAAAACTGTTTTCTCGGAGGGGAAACAAGCGCGCGTTGGGATGTGGGGGGAGGGTTGCCCTGCAACTTTTCGCTCACTTCTCCGTTCCTTCGCCCCGACGGGGAATGAAAGACAATTTTATTTCCCGCTTATAATAGAATCTGCCCCCACCCCCCACACGTTACACCCCGAAGTCTGCAAAATGGAACAAGTGCTAAGCATAGTTTGATAGACACCCACCCACACCAGGGTTGATTTAGACTCACTTGGACTGGGATTAAACCACACCGAATACACATTATATGTCAACACGAAGCTTCCCCCACCCTCAAAAAAAAAAAAAATCTAAAGCCCCAAAAAGGTGGCAAACCCCTGCCCCTCCCATAGTCATAATAAAAAGAACTACAGTATCGGCAATTGTTTTCAGACGGCAGAGAAACGCACAACACTAGTTTTCTATTTCCCTCTCATTCTTCATAAACCCCGAGGGAAAAGGAGACGTTTCTGCACCATGCGCAGTAAAGAGTTACTCGGCTCCACTCAGGCTTTGAACACCAGAACTGGGTAAATTAATTCAAACTCCCGTCTCTTGTCTCCTCTCGCTTCGACTAAGTCACCTGCCCATGAAGTCCGTTAGATATTTTTTCCGCCTCCCCTTCACCTTGATTCGGCGCATCCAAGGCGCTTTTCCCTCTCGAATTTCTTTTCCAAGGAAGCCCCGCTCAGCTTCCACTCCCCGCCGACACTGACCTCTCTCTCGTCGCCCGGTTGCAGCAAACCCGCCCGGTAAACTCAAGGCGGGAATAGTATATAGCAGGGATCTCTTAACTTTAAGCCTAGCGGACTTCAACTCCCAGAATTTCCCAGCCACTTTTACTTTGGGACTTGAAGTCCACCAAGACTTAAAGTTGCCAAGGTTGGAGCCCCTGGTATATACAGAACCAGAGAAGTCCACTTGAGAAGTTTGGGCTGGCTGTTTCTCAAAAGTTAAATGTCGGCGACTCGAACTCTTGGGACCTTCCCTCCACCCCCTCACACACACCCTCTTTCTATCTCCGGCTCTTCTAACAGTTTTATCAAAAAGAGACACTTGCTGGAAAGTCTTGCTTTTTTTCCCCCTCTCTCTGCAATCCCGCCCCCCCAATTCTCAGTTTGTAAAGAAATCCGTCGATTCTTCCAAGTGACCAAAAAAGGGGGGGGGCAAGCGAGCGGAGGGGGAAGCGCCTGCTTACCTGGAAAGTCCATAGCGGAGGAGCGTCGGCTTTGCCAAAACTGCTGTCCTCGAAGTTGTACCGCTTTGGGGGAGAAAAAAAAATGAGGCGAGATTAGACTGGCTGAATAAAGAAACGAGATTGGCCTCAACCCTCCTCACCCCCCCCCCCCCCCCTTCCCAATAATAGCCCCCCCCTTCGTTTTCCCACCCTCTCGCAGACACATTCGCACCCGCCACTGTTTCTCACACTAGATACACTCAAGTAACAGTCTAACCCCCCCTCTCTCTCTCTCACACACACACAGAGCTTCACTCCTGCCAGGCACCCAGCTAGGCAAAAGAACGTCTACGTGTCCTTTCCCCCCCACACACACACCACCACCACACAGACACACATAAGAGATTCGTTCCTCTGCCTCCTTTTCCCCTGGATATTTTGGGAAAAGCCGCCACTACCTCCCGCCGGACGCAGGTTATACTTCATCCGCAACGGAGCAGGACGCTCTTCGGACTCCAGTTCCTTTTCAAAGAAAAGTCCCGCTTTCCTTTCATGCCCCTGGGTTAAAAATAAAAATAAAACGAGTAAAAAAGAAATCCGCTTCTCTTCCGTTCTGGTCCCTCCTCTTCGTCCAGGTAAAGGACGCGGGGCCAGCAGCCGCGGAAGAAGGCTTTGTCCACTCCTTGGAGGGGCGGGAGAGGGAAGCGGCGCGGTCGTTCCCTGCCTTTGGAAGTTCCTTTCTGATACGGGCGCTGCCAAACAGCTGGCAAGTGGAGAGAGAAGAGCAGGAGGTCTTTCCCTTTAAAACCTCAGGACACAGGAGTTGTCTAGGCAGCAATGCCTTATTCACTGGGCTTCCGAGCCTTCTCTTTTTTTCCCCAGGAATGCCCTATCGATTGGGGATTAGATATGTGGAGGGGGTTCGGGGGAGGCGTCTTTACCCGGATGGAACAGGACGCGGCTCAGACGAACTCCAAATCTGGTTGTAGAGCGCCACCTCGCGGCCTCCGCGCTTCCCGAGGAATATATTCCGGAATTAAACGGGATGAAGAGAGCCGGGTAGATTAGAAAAGAGATCTCGATTAAAGGCATTCCCGGGTGAAGGATGAACTTTCAGTTAAATTCTCGCTCCCTTAGTTGATCTGTCTCCGCTTTTTTTTTTTTTTTTCTCCTTCGTACCATATCACAGGGGAATCCTGCGCCCGCAAACCTTTCGCTGCCTTGGCCGAGGCGCGGTGGGGGACACGCACTGCAGCAGGCAAAATTAGCATTTGTTATAGGCGGTAAAATGCAGACTTGAAATGCAGACTTAAAAACGGCTTCGGAGCTGTTGCTGCCGAAAAATAAAGCAGAAAGGTTGGAGAAATGGAATCCTTTAGATGCTATCATTCATCCTATGATTGCCTTTTCATTTTTCACTCAGGAATTATTTGGGCCATTAAGGTATCAAATGTGTTACCAGTGGAAGACAGCTTGTCTTCCCATCATCAACAATCCCTCTTCCTCAAGAAGTGGTAATATAATAATCAAATGAGTCCTTCCTGTGATAAGAGCTGGGGGTGAAAATATTGTAAAACTGCTTCCATTTTTATAATTCTGCTTTAAAACATGTAATTTAAACTTCTAAGAAGATAATTAAGTCATTAGCTTTGCATTTTGAAAGTGATATTCTCTCCCTTCTGAACAACAGAACTACATAAACATTGCCATATAACATATAAAGGCACTTCAGGGAATTGCAACCCACCATCAAACCACTGAAGCCAAATAAGATAAAACTACATTTAGAATCTATCATCCATCCATCCATCCATCCATCCATCCATCCATCCATCTACCTACCTACCTACCCATCTATCTCTCCATATATTTATTTATATCTATCCCACCTTCATTATTTTTATAAATAACTCAAGGCAGCAAACATACATAATACTCTCTCCTCCTGTTTCCTCCAACAAATCTGTGAGTTGGTTTTAGCTGAGAGAGAGTGGCTTGCTCAAGGTCTTATTTGTAATAAAACACGTGGGTAATCTTTCTTTATCAGCATCTCATTTGTTAAGTGAAGTGATTGCTAAGTGAGATCTTGCTTCATCTTTCTTTTGCTGTAGATTTGTGAAGGTCGTAAATGTAAGGATTGGTAGTAAATTTATTTTAGCCCTTTTGTAACTGCAAACAGTTGCTAAAGGAAGCAGTCACTAAATGAGGACTACCTGTATAGGAAAAAGATGGGTGAACACTATCAATTTTGTTCTAAATAAGCAGTAAACAACTTTCTTCCCTGTACTGCTTACAAGCAGAAGCTAGAAAAGGGTAGTCAGGAAACGATTTCAGTCCTTCTTCACATACCCCAGTGTACCATTTTCTTCTCTTCTGAGTTCTGCAGATTCTGTTAGGGAGTAGGAAGAGTGTGTGCTAAACATATACCTGAGAAGGTAGGCCCCAAGACAGGGCAGCTCTTAAGCAAAAATGTGATTGGTCTCCCCTACCAATTCATAAGCCTGGCCTTCCCCATTGAAAAGTACACACAATTAATTGCAACATATGCAAGAGAATGAAAAATAGTAATAGGCAGCACAATAGCACTGTGCTGTTACCATTTTAGCAAATGTTAACACATTCAGATAAAAACTTACCATAATGCCCCATGGCACTATTTATAGTGTTTCTTTATATATCCACATCTACATCTATGTCTGCCTCTGAGAAGTTAAATAAAAATTACTCCCACTTGCTGTGTCCAGTGTACTGAATTACCAATCATTATAAAATATAAAATTGTTTGGTGCAATGAAATTATTCATCCAAGGGACAATTTTCTTTTATTTTTGACTGAGTTTTACTGCAGAACCTGGCCACTTTAAAAAAATCATGCTTAAATAGTCAATGTTTTGTAATGGCTCCACTCATTCCCCCCTCTCCCCATAAGCAGAGTTTTATAACTCATCAGAGTTACATTTTATGAAGGCAGCATGTGCGGGAGCATATGGTGAAGTGCCTTTCCAGAAATAGACTTTGGGATATATTTTTAATGTCTCCTCAACTTTTTCTACTTCTGTGAATTTTTTAAAACCAATTCCCGCAATTGAGCAAAATCTTAAGATGGCAAAGTAAGTCAGGTACATATTGTTTAAGATTGCACATTTTGTCTAATCTCTGCTGCTCTATAAAAACGTTTCAGTTGAAGTGTGGATTTTTAGTTAACAGGTTATCATGGTGCCAATTCAATCCTGAATTTTAGGAAATGGTATGCATTTCCAGGTTCATCAAGAAGGTAGGTGAGTTGATGATTATTCCCTAGTCTGCCTTGGAGAGTTAGAAGGGGAAAATGAATAGCATTTTTTAAATACCGGAAGAAGGTCACAATAAATTCTCTTATCATACCAGATAGTACCTAACTGACTTAAATTAGGAAATGTTGAATGTTACACAGAGTTTCTAACAACAGCAAATTATCTGTGGAAAGTTTAAGGATCCCAAGAGGCATTCAAGGAGACAGTGTTGTTGCTATTTGTTGGAAGCACTTTGATTTAGATTTCTCTATTAAACACCTCAGAAATCTAAATAGTTTCTTTCCTACTCTCTGTTTCTATTCTAGCCAGGGTTATCCAACATTTCCCAGCTGCCTTCAGAGTTGGAGATAAGTGGGGAAGAAGAACAGCTGGAGCCTGTTCCAGATGCACATATGTGCAGAGCCGTCAAGAGAGGAGAACAAGTAAGGAACAGGAGCCGATGTGGCAAGAAAGGCACACTTGGACACTGAATGGCCCCCTCTCTGGGGTATAATAGAAGCAAAAGGAAAGTGGTGGTTGCAGGAGACAATTTGTTCATATTTCTTTTGGAAGATTTGCGTATCAGAGTTGTGCCTCACAGAGACTCCTTGCCAGGAATTAATTTACAGCTTTATAACTGAAAGCTCTTATCCTGGCAACTATTTAAGGACTGATAAGGTCTGTTCTTGCAATTAACCCTAGGAAGGATTATTGCCAGGGCTTTTCTGTGTGTGAATGCCATGAATTCACAGTAACTAAATAAAGAGGTGGTTTTCGAGATAAGGAGTCTGTTTCTCGGTTCTGCTAAGGCTGGGTCAGAACAATGGGAAACAATTTAATGACTATATGTTTGGCCATGTCTCTTCTATATTTATAGAAATTGTTCAAGTAATTGTGACAGAGCCATTTTTGTCTTTAAATTTATCATTTCTGTTATATTTCTTGTATTAAAAAAGATGTCACAAAGAAAGAGGGGGTCAACCTACTCTCCAGAGCACCTGAAGCAGAACAAGATGGAAAGTAATCAAGGAAAGAACCAACCTAAAAATAAGGAGACATTTCTTGTTTTCCTGTTGAACATGGGGATGGACTAGAAGACCTCCAAGGTCCCTTTCAACTGTGTTATTCTGTTCTGTTAAGTTTTCATCCCATAATTGAGTTAAATTGACCCTCTTCTCTTTAGCCCAAATGTTTATCTGTACAACCTGCATATGACTAACATTTATAATAATTTATAATAATAAAGCTCTTTCCTGGGGAGAAATATTGAGGCTGCTCCTCAATGTCTGGTAGTCTTGTGTTAGTATTATTGTATGTTGTTTAAATTCTATTGTTTGTAGATCTGTCATCCATTCAGAGTTAGTTATGATTGAAGTGATGAATGGATGGAAGAACTTAATGTCTCGATAAGCCTGTGTCCAGTTAGTTGCAAGGTCCTTTCCAACCCTATTACTCTGTTGTTCTGTTCTGCTATAAAGGGTTGCCTGAAATGGTGCCACTAGGGTTGAGTGACTGGATCTTACAGCCCAAAGAAAAGACAGTGGCATCTAAAGTATCATTGGGCTTCTCTCCAGGTCTTTACTCAGCATGTATATAATTAGGCCAAAGCGCTCCTTAGACTGTGTGTAGCAAACACAGAGTTCCAATTGGATCTAGCCAGGCCCTCAACTTTTTATTACCAATGAACCCAATAGCTACTCTGCCTCACCTATGACATGCTTAACTACACTTGAAGTACCGGTAGGCTTTTACTTTGGCATACTGTCATGCCCTCTCCTCAGCTGTCCGTGGTGATACAGAAAGATTCTCTACCCTGGAAAGAACAGAGCATGTACATTTCCAGACCTGCACTACAGATATATTCATACTAGCTCATTTAATCTCACCATTACTTCGCAAATACTCAGGGTGCACAGGACAATGGTACCTATCCTTGTGCTTTCAGATACCAATACTGCTACAACATATAATTTTCCAAGTTCTGTGCAGCAGTACTTAAAATCCATCAGTAGATGACTTGTGCCATAAACCAATTTTAATGAGGACCTGGTTCATCATTCTAAAGTGCTTTGTACTGTGATAGTTTGACATACTTCCTACACCGATCTATTGCTCCTATCCGTCCTTTTAGATTTTATTAGATTTTTTTGCTCATACTTTTTTTAGCTTTGTGTACATAATTTTTAATTTTGATCTATTTTGATGCTGTTTTCATTCTTTGTACCCCACCTTCCTTATAATAGCCTCTGATCGTAATAAAGATTTGACTTGATACAGCCTAAAGAATTTTGATCTGAAAGCTACATTTTTCTTTAAATAAACATAATAGTCAAAGTTTTGTCCTGAATTCACCTTCTTCCTCCAACTTTTATTCTCAGGGCTTGGTTTTGCAGTGTTTTAATGTTCATGGAAAGAGAAAGAAATGGAACACAGACAGACATTGAGGATAGAAAAAGAGAGAAATAAAGGGAGGGAACACAAGAATAGAGAGACAGGAAGTATATAAAGAAGGTGAACTGTCTGGTGGAGGCACTGGCTGTGTGGAGAGTGACAAGGAATATAAATGAATGCCCCACTGGATATTGTGTCTAGTTACTGCTGTGGGTTACTTATTGTTTATCATTAATTTAGATAAGGCTTCTTTATGCTTAGTCATACCTGTTTCATTCTCTCTATCCCTTTAATAAGTTTGATTGTTTATTCTATGCCACTGCAATGAAAAGATTTGATTGGTGGCTGTAGAAGCAGGTTCAGCACTGCGGAGAAAAGGACCAGGCTAGGAATTGGAAAAGGCAGCATCCATCCATCATTTTTGTAGGAAAGGTCCACAGATGCACAAATCATCCACCAGAGAGTTGCTAACAAAGATTACTGCAGCAACAGACACTTTCTGAGACTGCCTCATTGGATAGGGGTGAGAACATCCAGTGTTTTCCCCCATTCTCCCATACTTTTTAGCTTCAGTCTCATGGAATACTCCCTTTGACAATATAGCATAATTAAGGGCTGCTGCTTAGGGCCACATTGTAGAGAACTACCAATACACCAATGTCAGGTAGGAAAAGCCTCTTGAGAAGTTAGTTCACACTTCATTTGGTTGTCATCTCTACAATGAACATTCCTAAGAAATAATTAATTCGGTGATTCATTAGATACCGTAGTGGTGGTGGAGCACAGGATGTTTTGGTCATAAAGGAGTACTTGGCAAGGATGCAACATGGCTTGCAAGGTTGGAATTGTGAGAGTGTCACAATCCCCCATTTCTGTCCCCAGTAAGTAAGGAAAATGCATGGGGATGTAATTGCTCAATCCTTCCAGATCTGCTACAGATGTTCCCAGCAAGAATTGGACTTCACATACCAGGAACTCATGAAGACACCCAGTGCAACCATCTTCTGATGGAAGGAGCAATTCAGCAAGAAGTTGAGGATAGCACCTCATGAGTCAATTTGGTAGCATTGGGAGGAAACACCCTTGTGCATGGCAATCAACCATCTCTAATTCCAAGGAGGCATTGTCATTTGCCTCCCAGCAGGTCCCTAACAGTAGGACTTTAACCTTGCATGTTGGTCCATGTAATGGCAGCAAGTGCATGCATACCTCAGACTTCTCTTCCTGTAAAAAAAAAGTGGAAAAAAACCCAGCAGGCTTTGTCCAATATAGCCTTGCACAAATATATGAATGTACACTGTTTTTGGTGAGTTTTGAGGATTGGTAATGCAGAAAACAAAGGAGGACCTGGTGGGTTTAGACATAGTGTTTAGCTACCCAACCAAAGGGACAGTTTGTAATTACTACTGTAGATGCCAGTCCAATGGCCTATATTTTGATTCCTATGTGGATCTAATTACAGCCCCAGGTTGAATTTTTAGGCCCACTCCACAATGTCTCTGCATTTGTTGAGAGTATAGTTGAGGGCAGACTCTCATGCTTTGAGCACTATTGTAGTGCCCTCTACCTCTGAGTCTTCCAGTTCAAAAAAGACTATGACTCCCATGTTCTGTTAAGAAAGAGAAGCAGTAGAGATTACAAATTGAAATGAATAAGCAGAGTCACCCTATATTTACCGTGTTTCTTACAAAATAAGGCCGGGCCTTTTTTTTTTTTTTTTTTCCCTCCCCAAAAATGGCTAGGCCATCTTTTCGGGCGTAACTTAATTCCCCTCCCTTGCATCCTCAGGCGGGTGGGTGGCAATGGCTTGGATGTTGACCTCTGCATTGGTGGGGCACTTCGTATCAGGAGACCTTCTGCCACCGTTGCTTTCCCTTCTCCCCGTGCTGCCATAGTGTTTAGAGCAACACTGCGGCGTTTGGCGCAGCCATGCACGGCCAGCCAGTGTTCCTCCCTGCAACCAGAGCCTGGTGAAGACACTCGGCT